TAAAGGATCAACTAATCTCACTTTATTTCATAAGAAAGTAGGGGCTCATCTAATGTTCATTCAAATTTATCTCGATGACATTATATTTGGTTCTACTGATCCGTTGTTGTCAGAAGAGATTAAGGAACTAATGAAGAGTCAATTTGAAATGATCATGATGGGGAAGATAAATCATTTCTTGGGTTTTTATATTCATCACAGTAGGGAAGGAATTTTTATCAACCATGAAGATTACACTCGAAACCTGCTAAAGGATTGGCATGATGAATTGCACAAAAGCTAAAATTCATATGGCAGTTGGAACTCGCTTAGGTCCTTCGTTGGACAAACCAGATGTTGATATCAAGACCTATAGAAGAATGATCAGTTCGCTTTTGTATTTAACTGCATGTCGACCTGATACAATGTTTTATGTGTTTAATTATGCCATGTATCAAGAAAATCCAAGATAACCTCGTCTTACTATAGTGAAAACCATCTTTAGATATCTACATGGAACAAAGACTGTAGGCTTTTGGTATCATCGAAAACAAGATTTTTTATTCAAGCTTTCCCAGATGCGGATCTAGGGGTTTTTCAATTGGTTCGAAAGAGCAGCACAAGAGGGTGTCAATTCCTAGATGGGAAGCTTTTTAGTTGGTAGTCGAAAAAGCAGACGTGTATATCAATTTCGACGGCTGAGGCTAAATACATCACTAATGCGGCTTTTACATCTCAAGTGATCTGAATCCAAAGTCAATTATGTGACTATGTGATTAACACGACAACATAAAAAGGAAGGAGTGAGGCTGACATGAAGAAAATTCCTTTGTATTGCGATTCTCAAAGCGCAATTCGCATATGTCATAATCCAGTTCAACATTCGAAAACTAAACAAATTGCTCTTCGTGACCACTTCATCAAAGATTACGTTGAAGATGGGAATAGTGAAGTCCACTTTGTTAAATCAATTGATCAGCTTGCTAGTATTTTTACAAAACCATTGGACGAAAAATCATTTTTAAGAATTTTAAACGAATTAGGAATGATTGAAGATTGTTATGTTCCAAATTCTACATAATTTTTGGATTTGATATGTGAACGTTTTGGATTGACTTTCGATTGTCTATCCCACTTTTGACTGTTGGATCTCACTTTGGACTGTTGGATTCACTTTTGATTGTTTATTTCACTTTCTACTAGTTGGTATCACTTTCGTGTGTTTTAATAACTTTCATTACTTGTCTGATAGCTGTTCATAGGTTAGTATTCACGTTCAGCGTTCGCATGCCTTCACATTCGATTTCCCTCTGATTCATTCAATACGATTTTTGCGTGTGGAGTTAGTCTTTTGATGGGACGTACATGTGTTTGGTGTATATTCAACTATGGGACATTTCTTTGGACACAAGAAAACATTGGTTTGTGTACGATGTATTTGTTATCTATAACAAATATCTAGTGTTTGTCATATCATTTTCTTGTTTTTTGTTCTCTCGTTTATAAAAAATCAAAAATTTAAAAAGATTTTCTTAATTTTGTTTTTCGTTTATAAAATTCAAAAATCCAAAAAAATATATAGATTTGTTTCGCATTTACAAAATTAAAAATCCAAAAATATTTTCGTTATATTTTCGTTATATTTTTTTAATTGAAAAACACAAAAATATTTTTCTTATTTTGGAAGCTCATTGTCACATTGTGTTGTTCTTTTGCATGCCAAATGAGAATATTCAGAGGAAACATGTATGAAATGAAACTTTTGTCCCAATTAGGTGTCCTTAGAACATATTGCAGAATGTTGTTCACAAGCCTCAGTCTTTTTGTGTTCGAAGCCTAAATGAAAATTTTCACATGAAATTTTCTTCCCAATTAGGCTATATTCACATTAGTCGACGAGGTAACTTTATCTTCTCATGAGGAGTAATGAGATTTCTTCTAAGTCCAAGTTTTCGCAGAGGTACAATGAATCTTCTTATCTTATCTTTTTCGCCAAAATTTCTAACACGATCACACACAATGACACATGCCTAATACAGCTCTCATTGAAACCAACCACGAAATAGGTATGTCACGAATATGTGTTAATGATCCTAAATCACTTTTACGTGATGAAGATGAAACCCAACAAACCTCAATTTAACAAATTGATAGTGAAGATTTGATGTTCAAGATTATTACGAAACATTTGTTTCAAAGTACCACTTTTTATCCCAACTTGTTCTTGACTACAATGGTCATCCAAGTATTTTTGCACAATTCTTACGCTTATATCAAGTTGTAAATTTTCATGAAAATGAAACCATCCATGAACCTTATGAAAAGAGGCCCTTCGATACTCCTCAATGAGTTTTCGATTGTAATTCATGGGAAACCACATAAGCAGTTCGTCATCTCTCTTGATGTCGAATGAAGAGTATCTTTTCCCGCGATCAATATGCTTTTATATCAAAGATTATTTGATATCACAATGCCAAATTTTTTCACTTTGATTCTCTCTTATTCTTTGGCTCACGAAAGCTCTGAAATCCTTGAGGTTTTGGGTATCATCAACTCGAAACATAGATTTCACCAAGTCTAACATATGATTTCGCTTATCATTCCCATAAGTGAATGAGCCTAGCCTCCATAACGAAGGATGGTTGTCTGTTAGTATCGAAAGTAATGGTGGTTCATTTTTTGTTGGGTGATGCGACATATCCGTTGGATGGGACGGTTCAAAATATTCATGAGGCTCGAGGAAAAAAGTGATCATCACTTTTACACGTGGCGGTTTTTTATGGTGACGGTTCAGTAACCAATATTCCACGTGGCATTATATTATTTGGGAGCGATTTGAATTCAAATTATACGCCAGTTATATAAGGAAACCGATCATTACCATTCCAATTTTCCAGATTTATCTCAAAGAACCCTAACTGTTCGTCGCAAATTTTCTCTCCAAAATTCTCTCAATCTACTTCAATGGCTGCTGAGCAAAACATTGTTGACCAGTTCAATACCAATGACGAATAGGTTTCACAACCTATGATGATGATTCAACATACAAATCTTTGGCTTAATCCCTCTCTTGAAGTATATCCTAAAGAACTATGCATAATAGTGTTGATTCTGAACAACTCTGTTCTTCGTCATGCATTATCATCTTCCTTTACAATTCCGATGCAATTGCTGTCTTTGGCGGCTTCTACTACAGTTTACAACAAAACAACCAAGGTGGTTATGTTCCAGTTGATCTGTCAAAAGAAGAAGCAGCTAACCAAGAAGCACTTCGACCAAATCTTGAAGTTACATTCTTATGGTACGCTTTTTGAAGTTACTAATGAGCAAGTCATTCATTTGTTCAATAAGATGGATCATCAACCTACTTTATCAGTTCTTATTTAATTCAAGAAGTCGAGTTTGCCAAGTATTTGGAGTTTTCTCTTCGGTATTTTTCTAAGATGTTTAATAGGAAGAAATTCTGGGTTGGATAAGGCTAAGCTTGAAGTCTATTCGATTATGGTTGGGTTATATTATCGAGTAGTTGCTGATTATGAATCTTTGTTGTGGGAAGATTTTGGCAATTCTATTTCTTATTCAAAACTAGCATCTGAAGTTTCAAGTGCTAGGTTTTGGGGATTAATTTTGAAAGAAGTCTATACTCAGGAAGATATTCTTTTTCCTACGGATGTTGATAGGGTAGAGTTTCCATCCATGTATGTTCCTAAGATTTTTTGTGGATAATGCTACAATTTTTTCTATGGTTGCTAAAATTTCATATTCGATGCTCATTTTGGTGAATCGTACTCATCAATTGTTGGTTGAGTATCGAGCTTCAATGGATTCTACCACCAATGATTCCATCTAAATGTGTTGAAGGTTCTTCGAAAGAATCAAAGGGACATAAGAAAAAGAAAAAGGATGTGAAGCCAAAAGAAGTAACCTCAGAGGTTGTTAAGGAGACTGTACCTACAAAGACTGGAAAAGGGGAACTTAAAAGAACAAAGAAACCATCAGAATCTGAACCAACGACACCCATTAATGAGCTTGTACTTGAAACTGTTGTGACTCTGTCTGAGACAGTTTGTATAGAAATTCCTACTCAAGGAGAACGCGTTGTGAAAAGGGAGGTTCCAAGAGGGTAAATAAGTTATAGTTTACATGAAAAGGAGTTGTTGTTACAGAGATTTCGTCTCCTAATTCTCCTGCCTCACGAAAGAGAAGTGCTTTGGATGTGGTTCACAAACTAAAGAAGCAAAAGCAAACTCCTGTTTAGGATAAGCAAGAATATGTGGTTGTTGAATCAGATCATGGCAGTGTTGGAACCGATACAAACATGGGATCTCAATTTCATGTATCACCACGAAGGGATGCCTCTGTCAAGTCGATTTTCGAGGAGACAAGTAATCCTAATGTCAATGCAAACATATCTAATACAGATGTAAACATCAATTCGGTTGCACAACAAACTACAAAAGTCCCTGAAAAGACGAAAGTCATACCACCTGCGGGTTTGAAAACTGAGTCCAATTTGGAGGAGGTCAAAACTCCAGACATCACTATGAACTTATCTAATAAGGACACAAATGTCAATGTGGTTGAAGGGATGAATACTGTCGAAATCACTACAACCACTACAGTTGAAATAACTATTGTTCCTCCATCACCACCACCATCTTCTCCACCGCCTACATCGGTTACACCAATTTCTTCTATAATTCTTTCTCCAACATTTTCTGGTGTTATGAAAGAACCTATTATTGTTTTGTTATCTTCACAATCAAGTAAACTTGAGAAAATCATTACAGAAACTGATACAGATGATGCTGATGATGTTAAGGTCTCGTTTGCTAATTAAAGTTCAACACTGAAGAAGAAGACATACCTGATGAGTTGATCATGTCGGGTAAGTAATTTAAGATCCTCGATCCTAAAAAAAAATTATTTTTCTATTTTTTTCTAATACTGGAGGCAAGAATTTTGTTAGTAGGGTTGAAGTTGAATATCTTTTGAAAGCTCAAGAGTCTCGATTGAGAGCTATGATTGAGGATGTTGCTAAGAAACATGAAGAACGATTGGCTATTCAGTCTCGAAATTTTGAATCCGAGATCAATAAGCTTCGTGAAGTTGCTAAAGAGCGTAATGAGCTCTTCGAGAAGAGGGTGTCTGAAATGAAAGCTTCTTTTAAACTCAAGATTAATGAGCTTCAAACCTTGATGCTTAAAGAGGTTAAGAATATAGTTGACAACTACAAATTTTTTGATGAAAAAGGTTATGTCGTAGTTGGTGCAACAATTCGATTGGTTGAACTCAACAAGGATTATTCGAAAGATCTAAAAGTAAGACTGAGAAAGAGGACAAAGTGTTTTCAGAAAAATTGTTAAAAATCGAAATATTGGAATTTTCCAGTGAGGTCAGATGGGTTTGAAAGCTAACTCAAAATATTATATTTCAGAAGAAGAATCACGAATTTTGGTTAAGAAATGAGTGAGATATGGCAGTTTAAAGTCAGGTAAAGAAATCTGGCAGATTGCATGCATGATGATTGGTTAGAAAAGTGAGTTTTCATCATTTCCTTGAGTAAATCTTTTGAAATATTTAAAATATATGATGATAAGCTCATATTTTAGTCATGTTTCCAGAGATCAAAAGATTAAAACTTATCAAAATGTATACATTCATTTATGAACAAAATTTTGTTTCTAAAAAACTCTTAACTTGAGTTTGATGTTTTAGTCCTTAAAATCGATTTTTGCACTAAGATCATGAACATGCAACCTTGTTTATCATACATGCATGGTGTTAAAACACATCCATCATGTTCTAAAAACCATTTTAACAAAAAGAAAACAAGTTTGAAGAAGATGAAGAAGGAGAAAGTGTAAGAAAAATAGCAAAACTTGAAGGAAAAGTGAAGTAGAAATCGATTTTACCTTCAAGAACACCACAAGATGATGAAGATTTTGAGTTTGAGGAGTGTTCTTGGGTTTGTTTTCTGGAAAATTTTGTGGTTCTTAGAGGGAGGAAGAGAGAATGGAGTGGTGTTTGGAGAAAAAAATTTAGAGAGAAGGTAGAGAGAGTTTTCTAGAGAGAGAAAGAAGAGAGATGTGTGTGTGTTGGAGAATGAGAGTGTGAGAGAGAGATATGGGGAGAGAGGGATCCGAATTTTTTTGTATAATACCCCTTTCTCATTCATTTTCTTTTATAAAATTTAAGTTGTTTTATAAAATATCTCAATTTTTATATAAAATGTGCACTAAAATCAAGTTTTTATTCATAAACCTTGATTTTTGATTTATAAATTAAGGGTAAATGTTAATGAGTTAAATTTTATTTTCCTTGAATGCATTTTTATAATTTTAATTATTATAAGATCATATTATGAGGTTCATAACTATGTTTATAGAAATTTTAAGGTTAAATTTCATAAATTTAGATTTTTAGGGCATTTAGGGTTTTTGAGAGTTTGTAAATCTTTGGATATCAAAATCAATAGAATCTTTGAGACTTCAATTTATCTTATGGTATTATAAATCTTTTATAGTTATAATAATGTTTGTAACTTATTTTATCGGCTTATTGGCATTCTATGTAATGGTTTCGAGATTCAAGCGAAATTGAGGAAATCAAGTATACTAGTCCTAGTTTTCAACTTTGACTCAAGCATCTGTGAGATTATGACCTAATTTCTACTACTAGGTCAAGTGCAAGATGGGTGTATATGATTCATGAAATGGTGTTCGAGTCAAAGAGTGACCCAAATATGGATAGTCTCTACAGTTAAGTAGTTGTAGAATTCACATATCAATGTGAACTCTAAGTACACTATCCTTCGATTCTACTTGTTTCCAAGTTTCTAGTAGGTTATAACATAGCTTCTATTTACTAAGTCTAGTATGTGTTGTGCCTATATGTGAAACTAAGTTTAGTCAAATCTTAGAACCGACTCGAATTTTGACGGTTGTCACAGTCTCCCCCGGTTGAAAGAATTTCGTCCCGAAATTCAATTCGTGTCACATTCTATTAGAACTCAGCCGAATATAATTGTATAATTGGAGAGATGGTGACTTGAAGAGCTCTTCGATTATTTTGGGTTAATTCCTCAAGGGAAGAGCCCAACTCTTTAGCTATAATCAAATTAATGTTTCCTTAATTCGAGTTCTTTCGTCTAGATTATGGAAAATTGGGGTCACGGAATCATGATCCAACCATGGCGACCTAGTCGAAAAATATCATCTAGTTAGATATTATTTGAATTAAGAGAGCGGTATTAGTTTTGCTGAAGCACCAACTGCAATGCGCGTTAAATCCGCATTGATCCTTAAGTTGCATTCTAAATCAACACTAAGTGTAAATTTGTCGCCTAATAAAGAAAAGATTAGGAACAATTTGTTCACTTCCGGGTTGGCTATTACATCTGGAAAAGATATATTCCGAAATAAGAAGGGGTAGCACGAATGAAAGAGAAACAATCAAGGGTAAGTTCCTAATGATACGTGCTATTAGTACATCTCAAGCGTAAAACTATTTAAGTCCCGTCAACAATAGAAGTTACGAAACGATCGAGGATTTCCGAAGTTATAATTTCCACTACAGGTACTCTAACTATAATAGAACCATAATTGAAGAACATATATATTTAGAGAGTCGTTGTTTCTAATGAAGGCGGTGAAAGTTTATGATATTTCAAATCACATTATTTAGGTAACATTTTGAGCATTTAAAAATGATAAATAATCTCACTGTTATTAAAAATAGGTGATAATTCCAATAGAAAGAAGATACATGTGTGGCAATAAAACGAAGTAGTAAATAATAAAGAGATTAATTAATGTTAAAGGTTTAAGTCGTCAATGAGGGAATTTATATAGAAATATTCATATTACAATTTTTGGAAATTGTCCAATTGCTTAAGTCAGGACAAATTCAAGTTTACGAGGAGTCAGAATACTTATGAAAACAAGTTTGAGAGTTTAGGAACTCACTGGAAATTGCAAAGTAAAATACTATTTTAAGAAAGGCGTAAAAATGTCAATCTTTGAAAATAGTGCATTTATAGTTTAGCGTTTCTACAAAAACAATCATTTAGAGAATAGATAATCGTAAAATTCAAAACTTTTGATGTATTTAAAGAAAAGAAGAAACATAAGGAAATATATCCTTCATATATATTTTCCGGATATAGAAAAATTATAAGCATAAGAGTATTCATCTTGTGCATTTTATATCAAGTTTCTGAATTTAGAACGAAAGAGAAAATGTAAATAAGGATCACCTGTTTATTGAGATTTCAAAATAAAACCAAGATGTATATGATAAAAGGCGTAATTGAATATATCAAAGTTGACTAAATAAAAATTATTCCTCACGGCTATACATGTATTAATCGCTCAAAACGAAAGGATAGACTTCTAGTATGTATGTGTACAAACATGATACCAGGAGAAGCAAAATAGACAAAAACAAAGTTAGACAATGTATTATGTTACTATTATGGGTGTGCGAGATCTAAAATCATAAGGAGAGCAAGAAATCAAGTGCGGGGGAAAGAAAAAGGAAGGTAGCGGCGCCAATGATTGTTATTGTTAAAATTATAAGAACAATACCTATAGGTAGATTAAAACCAGCTTGAGATATATTTCAAACTTCAATATTTGATGTATATTGATGATTAAATAGACATGTGGGAGTTTTAAAGTGTTTTATAAAAAATTTATGAGTTATCTATTAAGTTAAACTCCATTTGTGAAAAAGAAGAAACACTAAAACTTGTAATTGAAATTCCGACAGCTTTGACCTTTTTGACTGGAGTCCAACAATGGTTAAAACGGATAAGGTAAAGACTTAACATATTTAGATGAATAATTATGCATTGTCGAAAGTGCGCCACTGGAAATTTAAAAGTGAACACTAAGTATTGCAATGCATTATATTTTAGAATCTTTATAGATTATAAAACTATATTGAAGCAAAGTACACAAATAAGGTATGTTTTGAATTACAAGCGTTAGATCTGTCTTATAAACATGTTTGAAGTAGACATTTGCATAAATATCATGTTGTGTTTTCGAGAAAACACATTAAAGTAAATTACAATGTCTAAATGAGAAAGCGGTTAAATGTGTCAAAGCAAAAGTGGTTTGGAAAATCCGAGGACGCTTTTACATATAATAGGACTTCAATCTTACATGTTTAAGTTTTATAGCATAGAGTTTAAACACTTTTATAAAAGAAAATGTTTCTAAGTTTTTCGAAAACGTGTCAAAATGGTAAGCAAGGTTTAAAATGGTTTATATGCCCTTAAAAACACATCTATCCATTGAAATGGGTTTGAAATGGATTTGAAATAAAAATTGAAATAGCAAGGTTAAAACCAATAATGGTTAAATTGAGTTTTGAAGAAAAGTGTTAAGTTAAAGCAAGTTGTCAAAAGATTTTTAGCGAGAATATGGCTTACATTGTTAAGAAATGTCTACTAAGTTTAGCGAAGTGGTTATAAAATATTTTATTGATGATAAAAAAAACCGATGAAGCGAAATAATTTTTCGGTGGAAGATTAAGAAGTAAGGAATAAGTATGTTAGTGTAGCTGATCGTACCTAAATACTAAGGCGAGTACAAGGCGAGTGTAAGGCGAGTACCGGTGTCTTTTCCCCAAAATTAAGGACAAGAAAAATTGTTTGTAAAATGTTTTATGGTGTCAATGCAATTTTGTGGCCTTTTATAGAGGTCAAAGGGATATCCTATGTTACGTTTTAACCTGAAGGTGGAAACAACCTAAAGCTAAATCGTAGCGTAGTAGAGAAGTCTCACGTATGGGTTAAACCTCCGTGTCTCCTCATGAGTCGAACCCGGAATGCCTGCCAATGGTATGCAAGTGATTACTTAGTGGCGACTCATCTACCTCCTTACGTGATGCTCCAATTTTCATCTGTGTCGGTATCGGAAAACTTTCCTAGTTGTAACTATGGTACAAAGACGATGAAGAGGTACTGAGGAATAACTGGTATAGGTTTCGACTTAAGATTATTACTAGTGTATATCTAGCTACTAACCTTACATCTAAAGTCAATAGCTACCGAGGAATACCCATTCTCAGTACTAATTGCATTGCTCCTAGAGTGGCTAGTGATATAACCAAAGTGGTTAACCTAGCACTTGATAAGGGATAAGAATATTTCTAAATAAAGGCATTGTGGTAAAAGTGCACTTAGTTTCTAAGTGTACCTAGATGAATGCCTATAATATGCAATGCCCGTACGCACATCGAAAAACTTTGTTTTTCAAAAGTTCAAGCTGAAAATCGTTTTGAACATAATTCTACTATAACCGTTTCAAGCCTCGCATTAAGTTTTCCTTAATTAAGCATAGTTGGCCAGGCTATA